TGAGGCATTCCTTTTCCATCCAAGCGCTTAGGGGTGCAATGAAGGGTGCAGGGTGTACCTGTGTCACCTGGGGACCCCAACGACCCAAAAGGAGCAGCCGTTGCCATCTCTCACAGATGAGAACTTTGCTTAGGAAACAGTTGGCTTTGCAACAAACATGTCATTCTGTGGTGTGTGTGATAAACGCGTAAGAAGTTCCTTATGAATTTGAGGCCTTCTGCCCATGCTTACGGTTGCCTAGCGCACTGCGGGCAAGCCCTCTTGAGCAACATATGGATAACCTGTAATGTAGCGCCGCATGAGCCCTAAGCCTTACTTGATCCTCAATTTATAGCTTGTGGGTTCTGGTCCTTAGTGCTACACAGCATAAAGCTGCATTTCTTCAGGCCCCAGCACGTCCTAGACCTCCAGTCCATTCTAACAAAAGAGCCCTGCGTGAGGATTGCGAATGCTTGCTATGCTGACCAAGGTGGCGAGCACGATGCCTGGCTGCAATAGATGGACGAGGAGCGAGGGTTTAGGGGTCTCGCGGCTTTGCGTCAGATAGTTGGTTCAAGGTTTAGGGTAGGAGAGAAAGGGAAGCTGAGGATGTGGGATGGGTGCATGTGGCCCACGGATGGCTGGAGCCCTGAAGAGGGAACGCAGGGATGCTAAGGACAACCTGTCAAGTGCTGAAGGGGGGCTTGCGGGCTAGGGCTGCTGGGAGGAGGCTTCGGGGCGATCGGCTCGGATCTTAGGTTGAAACTAAACTCGATAGGATGGATCAGGATCGGCTCGAATCCTTGGTCTGAGTTAAGTTCAATAGGGTGGATCGAGATCGGCTCGGATCCTAGTTTAGATTAAACTCAATAGGATGGATCAGGATCGGCTTCGGGAATAGATCAGAAGGGTTTCGGAAGGCACCCAAAGAGGTTGGAGGAGTTCAGAGGGCTTCAGCTTTCAGAAACCTTGCAGAAGGCTTTGCGGACAAGGCTAGAAAGGACCCGGAGATTTCAGATCCTGAAAGCTTCTGATTGCTGAGTTTTTGAAACTCAAAAGGGTCTAGGTTTCTGCCATTTTTTTGGCAGGCCCGGATCTGACGGAAATTTACGGGACCCGAAGTCTTTCGTATTATTGATGATCCGGCCAGCTGCTGGACTGCCCCTTAGGAAAAATGATTGCTAGGCGTCCTCAAATAAGCGGTCTCACGAGAAATACATAGTTTTGGACCTGGCTTGGAACTTTAAAATCCGGAGTTCTGGGATTTGAAACTCCGGAAATTTGAGGTCGTGGAAGCTTGGCTTTAGATGCTGAGCCTTTAAAATTCGAAGGGTTTTGTTTCCGCTATTTTTGGCAGTCCCGGATCTGACGGATAATTAAGGGACCCGAAATTGTCGTATTATTGAAGATCCGGCCAGTTGCTGGACTGCCCCTGAGGAAAAATGATTTCTAGGCGTCCTCGAATAAGCGGTCTCAGATTTGGACCTGGCTTGGAACCTTAAAATCCGGAGCTTTGAGGTCCTCAAAATCCAGAGGCTTGAGGTTTTGGAAGCTCTGGACAAGGGGTTCTAGTCTAAGTAACAGGGGGCAGCTTGGATTAGGACCCTAAACTAAATACTGACCGCCTGCCACGCTTTTCAAAGCAAATTGGGTTGATTTATTCCAATCATTTACTCTCAGCATTTTTTTGGGCCGCGCAACTTCCTACAATTAAAGGACCCCAAACGAACCTAGGGGGTGCTGAATAATGTCGGCGAAACTTCGCACAATTAGGGGACCCCACACTAATCGAGATCCAACATTATCCCGCAGAAAGGACCCCTGTTTTTGGGGAACCTCCATTTTGCCATAGAGCTCAGTGAAGTGCCAGGTGCTTTGCAGGTGGGCCACAGCTCGTGCCAGGCCGGCTCATCTCTGTTTTTGCGAAGACCACCACAGCCTCGACAGTCAATGACGGTACCCTTATACAGTTACAATTTTTCCCTTCTAGTCACTATCACAAGGTGGGGGGTCCGCCCAAGTAATAGCAATAAGTTGCGGTTAAAGGCTTGTAGAGGAGAAAACGTTTGGTGCTGCTCCAGCAAGTGAGTTGCCACTTTTGGGGTTGTGGGTTGGAACAGTATTTGCTCATTCTTCTTCTACACATGCCGCTGCGAAAACAGGCTTTTAGAGCAGCGGTTCAAGTGTAAGAAGGCCGTTTGTTATGACTACTATTGCCAAAAGGCCTGGCAAAATCCATGTTTCCAGGACTTCCGGTAGCTTGCATGTGCCGGCTGTTAGATGCAGAAACACGTGCTGTTTACGACTTGTGCTTTCGAGCTATAACGGGCAGTTCTTTGCAGGAGTGCTAGTAAAACCGCCCGCCTTTATTATGACATCCGTGTTCGCTGGTGCCAGGCACAGTTTCCTCCCCGACCCATTACGGGCGACCGCATGGCAGAGATGGAGATGGACATGCAGGCAGAACCGGGTATTCGGTTTTCTTTGTATAGGACCTTAAAAATTGTAGCAGTGGTGGTGGTGGTGGTGGTGGTGGCGGCGGCGGCGGTGGCGGAGGCGGTGGCAGCTGTGGCGGCTGTGGCTGCGCCAGTGGCTGCAGCAGCGGCAGTGGCAGTGATGGCGGTGGGCGGTGCGTTAGCAGCGGTTGTTGCGGCGGCGGCGGCGGCGGTGGTGGTGTGGTTCGTGGTGTCCTTGAGCATGGCTTGAGGCTTGATCCCGTTGTTACAGCAGGAGCTCAAAGGCCACCAGTGGCACAGAGCTTTGAACCTCATGATATACATGAATTTCTCTCAAGCTCGATGGTACGAAGCCAAGGGCCGCTTCAACAGTGGAACAAGAATCAATCACACGGTAGGAATCTAATGGGGCTTCTGACGGAATGCAGTTGTTTCGGAGCACCAAAGGTGGCTAAGTGATCAAGTTTCGAGAGTTTTGTCCTTTATTTGATGTTCTTCCACACGGTCAGCTTGGCCATGGCGACGCAGCACGAAATCCACAACAAACCCCGAAATTTCGACCCACCTTCAATAATTCAAATCCAGCACCAAGGCTTCAATATCTCTCAAGCTTACCAGGCTAAGAGGCGACTCAACAAAGCTTGACCTCCTAGTAGCAGTCGCAGTAGTAGCAGCAGCAGTACCTGTAGAAGGAGCATTAGCAGCAGTTGCGGTAGCGGTCGCGGTGGTAGAGAGGGTGAGAGAGAGATAGAGCTGGTAGTGATGGTCATCTCTGGTCAGCTCGACAAGTAGGCGTGCTGCCAGGCGGCAATCCCAGGGATGCGTGCGATGCTGCATCAGGCGCCTAGGCTGTTGGTAGTGTGTTCAGCGGACATTTGCCAAGACTAAGGTCGGAACATCGGAGTTGATCAGGCTGGCTCTCGCGCTTCTGGCCAATATGCTCGCGTGCCCTGGAAGCACGAGACGGTCTTGCCTCAGTCAATGTTTATCTGGGAGCCCCGTCTTGCACATTGAAAACAGTTCCCATGCTATGGGAGTGACGAAGGCTGACGGAAGTTCATACGTAGAGTGTTGCCTGCGATAGTGAGCGGCAAGCATCCGCTTGGGCTCCGGCTCGCTAGGACCTTAGGATACGTACATCAAACACGTACACGCGCTGTGATTCTTCTGGAGATAGTTATGCCTGTGCTTGCTTTGATGTTCCGTACCGGTACTCTGAGATGACCTGCATGTAACATGTTGGTGGCTGCGAAGATTTTGCTGGCAAGAGACCTAGGCTGGCAAGCATTCTTCTGGCTGAGCTCTCCACAGAGGCTCCAGCTCTCAACACTGCTGGCTGCGGTGTGCAATGCCTGTAAGGAATCATTGTCATTGTTGTTCTTTTCCCATATTGTGACAGTTTTTGTCACAGATTCTACAGATGCTGATCTCCCTCGTTGGCGGTTTTTTTTGAGCCCTCCGACCAGCCGTTACGACGCACAAGCACATTCGTTGGAAGTCCTGCGCAGTCCGGACTTTCATAGTGTTTTGTGCTCAAAAGCATACGACGGCGGGTGGAGTTTCCTGTCGACTACCTTGAAGCAGTAATGGTCTAGGGCCGCCTAGGGTTCGTTGTCTCTGAGACGGTCCCCTTTACAATCATGCAAGGCTTGCATTATCTGAGATATCTATGTGGGGCCCCGGTACTGCCCTGATACTCTCAATGGTGTAGGGTTTGTGTTGTCCAAGAGGGTCCGTGTGACTGCCTTGAATCTCTCAATGATCTTAGGTGAACAGTGCCTCAAACTACCTTCAAAGTCTGAGTAGCAAGGATTCGTGTTGCTGGCAATGGTAGCCTCTACTGACCTCAAATTGTCCACTTTCAACAGTGTGTGGATGTATGTGGTAGGTAGGGTCTGGCAATACATCCCTCAAAGTTTCAATAGTGCAGTGTGCGTGGGTCGACATGTCAAAACTGCGGCGCTTTTTGTGGGGCGTATGCCATCTGGGTATCTGGGTTGTCTTTTTTTTGAACGACGAACTGGATGAAACAGGGATTTCCTTCAGCTACTCGCGCAACTTAGGGCCACTTACTGCGTTCCAACTGTTATTTTCTGGACCGCAAACTTTCACATTGCTTGGGTTGGTAAGGGGTCTTGCTTTTTTGACATGTCTCCCAAACTGAAGTACACTCTGGAAGATGTTGGCTGCTTGGGCATGGGCCTGGCTTCAATTTTTATGCTGTGGAAACTGAAAGGAGCTGTGGCCCATGCTTTGCTCCCTTCTCCTGGTCCTACCGCTAAATGGCTTGGAGTTTGCCTTCTTCGAGGCAGCCATTGCATTTCGACATACGCGAGAGAGGGCCAGATCTCCCGCACTGCAAAATTGAGCCGGCGTTGTAATGCGTGCTTCTTCTCTGGCTCAAGCTGTTGATCCGCAAACCTTGCTGAGGCACTTAACGCGTAGAGCCTGTAAAGCCTGTAGAGCCTGGAGTCGGGGAAATTCATGTTTTTGAAAGCTAGGCTCTTGTTTTCTTCTGTCTGCTTCTCGTGGAAAGCTTATTGATATCTGTAGACATAACACGCGATGGCCCCGGCCCCTTCCGATGATGTCCTGCTGCAGCTTTCGGTCAAGGCTGGTGCACGGAGCTTCCACAGACTGGGTAAGTCGGTCGCAGTGCGCTCGGCGTTTGCAGGAGCTGGCGGCAGCCATTGCATGCGAATCGGTCTCAGCGGTCCAGGCCGTCTTCACCTCCTTGCGGTCGTCTCTGCACAACATTCCTGCTTGTTCTTTGAGGTGCTGACTGCTTTCCGCCGCCGCGCAGAAGCGATTCACAGCCGCTTCTGGGCATTCAGCATAGTGCAACAATTGCTGTACAACCGCCTGGCAGCCTGCAGATGCTTGCAACTGCGTCATGTACTTCGTAGAGGAGGCGTGGCAGTGGGCAGAAGAGGCAGCGGCTTGGCGCCAATGGCCTGCCCAGAGTTTGCAGATGCCAAATGCTTGGTGTTGCTGAGGATGCGCACCTGCGTGACACTGGCAATCTGCTCGGCCCCCTGCATGGGGTGCCGTGCTCGATCAAGGCTCCGGCGGGGTGTATTTGTGTGTAGCTGTTGCTGCAACACTGTCAGCCGAGGACCATGTTGCTTTGAAGGGTCACCCGGTGACCATGGGCCTCCGCACTCTTCGTGACCAGCAGGACTCGGCAACTCTGCTCTTCGGCCAGATGACGGTAAACGGAGAAATCTCGTCAGGAGAAGCAGCCCATCAACAAATCCTCCACGCTGGCCAATGCCCTTCGAGGTGCTGGCGCCATCATCTTCTGCAAGACGGCAATGACGCAACTGGGTGAGACTTGGGGGGGTGGAAGCCCAGCACATGGGGACACGCTGAATCCGTGGGACACCCTGCGAACGTCCGGCGGCAGCTCCTGTGGCGAGGGCGCCTTGCTGGGAGCGGGTGGCTCACCTTTTGGCATCGGGTCTGATGTTGGTGGCAGCGTGCGCATTCCTGCCTCTTTCTGCGGCCTCTCTGCGCTGAAGCCAACTGCCTTCCGAATGACCTTCAATTGGGAGACTTGAATATGTGTAGGTTGAGGGCGGTTGGTGCGGATAGGGTTGTCGTGGGTGCACTTCCCCTGTGTGCAACGCACTTACGTGACGTGCAGGAGACAGGGCAGACAATCATCGGACATCCTGGCGACTATGGTGTCATCCGGCCTTGCATTTGGCTGCCTTCAGAGACACCTGCCCGGTCATAACACATCATAACACTGGCTCACTAGGTGCTCCTTGATGTCTAGGGCTGAGGGGGCCACATGCTGATCAGTCTCGTGGTAATCGCCGGTTGAAAGAAAACCAACCGCAATCTTCAGTTTATGTCAGATGTTTGCAACAAAAGGTGCCCGCGACCCCTGGGCCCATGGCGAGAAGGGTGGACGATCTTATTGAGGTGTGTGCTGCCGTCTGGGATACACCCTATTACGAATCAGATATTCGTGTTCCTCCGCTTCCGTTCCGAAAAGAGCTGACGCAGATCACCAAGCCCCTGCGCATTGGCTGGTACACCCATGGCTTCGTTTACCCAGAGCCATGCAGGGCAGCCGTTCGTGCCGTGGAGGACAGCGCATACCCTTAACTTTTAAACTATCCCACATCCCAAGATAGAACAACTGAAAGCCCTGAGAGGCAGCCAGAGATGCGCTACAAGCAGCAGGGCACAATCTTGTAGCAGTGCAGCCGTGGGAGGCTTGCTCTTTGGCCGACATCGTTGGCTGCGATGTGGCTATGGAGAGGTTGACAGAGTCCGATGGCGGGTTGGTTGCAGGGGCTGTGCCGCAGTCGTCTGGCAGCAGCGACTCGCATCCAGATCACTGGACTCATCCCGCCTCGAAGGCCTGGACCGGCCCTCTGAGATTCGGGGAATCATAGAGCTTTCGAGAGTGTTCTGCCTTGCAGCTTCAATTGTGAGTAAGCCTGCGTTGTCCAGGCTCTGGTCCCAAAGCCTGGCACAAAGTCAACAGCACAGAAGAAGTTACCTCCGACAAGCACTCCAAAGCTATACCAAGCGGCGCTTGCTCTGCGTGACCGGCTCCGGGACAAGTTTGCAATATATTGGAAAGCGAACAAGCTGGATGTTATTCTGTGTCCTGTATTTCCGTTCCCGGCTCCTCCTGTTGAAGAGGTTTCTTGATTGCAGACGGCCCCGTTTTCTGGGGTCTCTGCATGGCTTGACATCTAAAGTGGAACTGGTCACAGCTAGGTGGCCAAACTGCTTCATTTGGGTCTCGAGCTTCGTCGACCTCTAGCTTTCATTCCCTAGCTTTCACCTCTCGCTTTCATTCCTTGCGCCTTCTGGGAGCCCGCTGAGGTAAGAAAGGGCAATGGCCGCTACATTCACACGAGAATCTACAACTTCATGGACTACGCTGCTGGGGTTGTGCCCACCACGCGCGTGACTCATGAGGCCGGGTCATGAGGCTCCAGGCTTCCCAAGAATTCGAGCATTGGCTGGTTGAGCTGGTGTACGGCTGCCAGGACCTGGCACAGGCCTATGACCCCAAGACAGATGACGTGCCCTTGGCCGAGATTGCCAGCAGAGCTGTGGAGGGTTCCTTGGGTTTACCGATGGCGGTGCAGATTGCTGCTTGGCATTGCCTGGCAATAGCAACAAAAGATGGTCCGGCAATGTCCGGCAGCTGCCAGGTTGCACCACCATGGCGTGAGGAGCTCTGCCTGGGTGCCATGCTAGAGGCGCCGCCTTTGTAAATCTGTAGCTTGTTGAGATGCTGCGTGTGGTCTGCATGCAAGGTCGAGCGCCTGCTGCCGTTCGATCACGCCGCGCTGCTCGGGGCGCTTAGTGTTGGAGTGGTATAGAAACAGTGCAGTGCAAGATGTGCAAGGTCGTTGCGGTTTCTTCGATGTGCTTTTCGTTAGCTTTTCCCAAGGCACGCCTGCCTGTCTCCGGTCCCTCGGCGGCCGCGGAGCCTTGGATCTCGCCCAGAGCCCATCGACGTTCCTGAGCACTCCGAGCGCTCCAGGCTCTAGCAAGCCAGGAAACGAGAGGAAAAAGCTGCACCAAGCTAAGTAAGTGAGAACATCCTCTGGCTTTCTAAAATCGCTGAGACCTGGTGCAGATGTTCCTTCCAAGCCGTCGAGCGGCTTCGAAGCTGCGTATTTGGCGTCGTCGGAACGCGAATCTCAACAGGCTTTGTCTAATCGCAGACTCCGCGCAGTGCATCGGACGTAGGCTAAGTTTCACGGCAGGTTCATTCAGCTTTTGGCGCTGGTCGTGAGCGACGCTCTGCGCCTGTACCGGGCAGCTTTGCAACCGGGGGGGCCGAGGCACGACCCTCTTTTGAAGTTTGAAGTCAAAGGCTCCAAGTCTTCACTCAGTCCTGCTGCAGCAGGTTTACGGGCATCTTGGAGCCAGGTGGAAGCAAGATGGACCAGGTTCAACTTTTGTGGGCCGCGCCCAGATTTGTGTTACGAATCCGGTAGGTCGAGGTGGCAGTCCTTCCTAGTGGTCGAGCCCGCTTCTTTGTTGGGAGCTTGGCAAAGGATGCTTGTCGCAAACAGTTCTCCGCCAGGGGATAAGAGCACCGCTGCCAAGTCTGTCAGTCAGGCCTTTGTTTCTCCAAGCTTGCCAAGACTTTAAGTTATTATGTGGAGTCACGTAGGCTGATCTTCTTCGGCCCGAAGGCTTTGTAGGAAAGATTCTGAGCAGGTGGCAAGCACTCCGGAGAGATGGAGGACTCCTCCCAGCACGGCTTCTCATTCTTGCTTGGGTTTCCCGCCGCTTTCATTGGGTCACAGGACGTTGCTGACTCCTGTCGGAGCCTCGTACTTGTCCGAGACCTCTTGGGCAGTGGCAAATTCAACTCAGGATGAGCTATGTGGTGCCAAATGTCCACTCTGTAGCCTCTTGGCAGCATAGACGAGTGAAGGCAGAGCCTTAGAGATGCATGGAGATGACTGGGCAGGTTCCATGACTCCACTACCCCGCATGGCGGACTTGTGGAGGACTACTAGATTCGGACTGTTCCCTTGCCATGTTTTGGGCATCAACGCTGGCCAGCGCCTCCTGATGCCAAGGCGTACTTGCCACTTTTGTCCTCATGTCAGGTATTGCAATGTTCCACAGCTGGCAATTGCACTGCGGCGCGGTTTGCAAATAAAGGACGACTCAGCAGGTCCAAAACGACGATTCATGTTCTTGTTCTTACTCCAAATTTTGTGATGATTGTTACTACTGTATTATCACCGTAGTGCTAGTAAACTTAGTTATGATTATTACTATTACAAACATGCCGGCGAGTCGGTGTTCCTGGCCTGGCCTTTCCAAGGTTGCTGCTGCTCAGACAGCTACAGACAAGCAGTTCCGAAACTCTGGCGCTCGTGCGAACAACTCTCCATGGCTGTTCTTTGCCTGCAATAGCCATAGATCAAGGACTTCTCGTCTGCCTGCTTGCCGCTGTCCAGCAGTTGTGAGACCAAGGCGCGTTGTCTGCACACTCCATCGGCCTGCTTTGGATCCTCCTTCGGTGGGTTCAGCGCCTTGGCTGCTCAGTCTCAGGGTGCATTTCTGGATGAGACACTCGTTGCGTGAGGTTTGCCTGCCACCGGCGGGCAAAGCACACAAAGGCGGGAGAGACTTCGTAATCTGGTAGAGAGATGTAGAAGGTGTTCTCTACGCGGGGCAGGTAGCCGAGTTGATGTCGGACAGCGACCCCGCTGAGAGGCTGCTCCAGCTGAAGTGGAGGCTCATTTCATGTTGTATGCATGTTGTGACACATGTCAAATTTGCGATCCTGGGCAGGGGCCTGGAAGATGTCGTTTGTGATGCATGGACTCTTGCATGCATTACGGGGCACGTGGTGGTGCGTGATGTTCACTGCGCATATGGTGCGGCCACGAGCTGATGCATCGCTTGCAGAGGTTTGTGGTGTTCCACAGCTTTGACAAGAAAGATGTCATGCGAGTCGAGATGCTTCCAGGGAGGTCAGTTTTGCGAGCCCCAGTCTGGAGAGAGCCAAACTGTTTGATGGCGGAGGCCCTCGCGGGGCTTAACGTGGGCAGATCAGAACTCCCTTAAGTTGTATCTGGGCGGCAATGGCAGCAGCTAGCTTATGCTTTTTGGGCTGGCACAACGCTTGGCTGTCCAGGCATGATGCTCCTCCTGGACACTTCTGGGTTTCCGTCCTGTGCTGGCGTAGAGGTTGATCCCTGAAGCGGAGGGCAGGGTGGCAGTTGCAGAGAGAACGCCACAACTGCACTGCAAGGTGCATTGACAATGCCTTTGGCAATGGGCCACTGCCAAATCCCGGCAGCCAGCCCAGCAGACGCTTTCCAACACATGCCTGTCTGTGCGTTGGTGCCCCGTCCAAAGGTCACCGAAGCAAAGGGAGAAGGTAGGGCCGTACTGACCACCTGTGGCGCCAGAATATCTTTATTGGACTATCGCAGGTCCTCCGCGCAAGTGCCTCGAAGTTGCGGATGCTGCCACCGATGCAAAACCATGGGAAGTTGTGGATGCAGGTTTCTGAAGCGATGTGCTTTCTTTGTTTTTAATTTCCAAACTTTGATTACCTTTTGCCAGGCACTGATCCCAAGGAGGTGACGCGGCCCGTCGCACATGCCGAGGCTCAAGGGTAAGGGCGTCGGGTGGATTTCCCCTTCAGTTGCGACAGTTCTCATTCTACTCTCAGCTCAGTAAGGTGCAGAACGTGCCTGCATCCGTGGATGCTGCAAGTCAGTTTCCTGCAGCTGGCCACCTGGCAAACTGTCTAGAACTCTGAGCGCACCTTCCGAATGCAATGAGGTTCCAGTGGAGATGTGTGATGCGTCCACCACTCCGGAGTGCCCTGGCATTATTGGCGGCAGAGATTGGCAATTCCTGCTCGGATCTACTCGGTGCAACGTGTGCGAACTTAGGATTGCCTCGGCGAGCTGGGAACTTGGGCCGCTTATGCCATGAGATTCACGCGATGCTTACATTACGTCATCTTCCCTAAACCCGAATCCCCAATCCCTCAACCGGCAGACGTAAAAGTCTTCTGGTTTTAAAAAAACATAATGCCGAAAAGGGATGAGGGTTCAAAGCTTTGCTCGATCTACCAAGATCTTTGCCACCTGGCGGAAAAGGAGCGCTTAGAAAAATGTAATACCGGAAAAGTGGTCGGATAAACACAAAAAAACCATCATCCCTAAACCCTGATCCTCAGGCGAAAGGCGGACTGCCAAAGTTGGCACTGGCCTCGGAAGTTTCGACCTCCCGGTACAGCTGCACTGCCAGGCACAGCAGCTGCTTTCAGCTACTTGCCTGCATATGAGCTACAGTCTAAACTCCCTAAAGGGGGTTATATAGGGATGTATATATTAAGGTGGATACTGGGAGTTTAGAGTGAGTTTAGACTGGCTCATATGGTAGTTTCCATAGTTAGGGGGACCCCAATATAGACCCCCAAATGCTACAATCCTGATCTTTTTTGGCCTTCAGAAAGGTACCATCATGTTTGGAAGACTCATATTGGGAAGAGCTCTACTTGCTGGTTCTCCGTAGGGAATACAGGACTGCATTATAGAGGGATTGTACAGGGATTGTACTCCCGTATTCTCTAAGTGGTAGTTTCCCAAAATGAGGGGACCCAATATAGACCCCAATATACTATAATCCTTGTTATGTGGACCCCCCATATGGTACCCCTAATTTCGGGAAACCCCCAAGTTCTGTGTGCAGGACAGCCCCTCGAGCGAGGTTGGAGCTTCAGCGGAGGACGCAAAAGGACCGTGGCCGATCCTGAAGCACAAATGGGGGTTTCCCAAAACTAGGGGCACCTGTAAAGGGATTATAGGGGGACATATAGGGGTTATATAGGGGTTCGGTTTTAGGGTATACCGTATACCCAACAGTAATATATAGTACCAAACTGGGATTCCACTTTCTGGAAGCGTTTGAGTTCGCGTTTAGGGATTCGTGAACGCCGCAGGGGTCTGAGGCATAGGGGTTTTGGGCGCAGTTTTTGAGGTTTGACGGTTTCGGGGGTTGGGTTTAGATGTCACGGGTTCAGAGTTTGTCTGAAGGTTCGAGGGTAAGTGTATAGTTGTGGGGGAGTCAAGGGATAAGGGCTTAAGGATTTGGAGTTTATGGGTGTGCGCTTCGGGGCGTTTTGGTTGAGGGTTTGCGGCTGCGAAACTTGCAGGTACATAGTGGGAGCCTAGTCGTTTGTATGAAAGAGACTAAGAAGATTCAGGAATGCCAGATGGAGGAGGGGCCCATTTCCAATGCCCAAATCTCTGGCCTGGAGCAGCGTGATGCCTACCGCGGTGGCCTTGAGCGGCATGACGGCTGATACTAAGCGCCGACATACCGCCCTCAACTCTAATCCTCTGGGTTCTTACACCTCCAACTACCTTCCCAGCAGTGAATGGTCCCCCCGGAAGGCTGGAAGTCGGGAGGTCCAGGAATGGGCGTCACTGTGTTCATGGCCGATCCGAATCGTTGAAGCTTGGGCCCTGGCCACTGGCTAGTAAGATCCGCAGTTGATCCACCATCGGTCTACCCAGCCTTCAATGGCCAGACCCTTCTCACCCGCCTTTTGAGTAATTCCAGCTGCAAGTTCTGAAATCTCCAGACCCATCCTCCGAAAAAAAGATTTCAAGACCAGGAGTCATGTCTCCATGTCCTGGAACGTCCAGTCTCTGGGGCTATCCTGCTGCCGGATACCAGTACCGGCCCTGTCACAAGCTATGTGCAGCGGCAAGGGTTTTCTTTGGGTTCAGTCGGTTCATGGTCGAAACCGCGCAGGAGAATTGGTCAGTCTCTAGTAAGTGTGGCAACCGGTTGTGCCACATTCAGCATGGCAACACTTCCAGTGTTGAGAGCCAGTTGAGTGATGTGCTGCTGCAACACGGTGTCCCAAGCTCAGCAGTTGCAGCAAGAGTACAACGTGCAATCCAGGTCATTGGGCTGAATCCGTTGCAGGTGGATATTGACAAGAAAGATATCGCTTCTAATACTTGGCGTCGCCTCAAACAGCTTGCAAGCG